ATCAGGACCTACGTAACCTTAGAGATCCATGTCCGATTCAGGGATATTATATTCGCGTCGACAGCTGATGTTTTCATTGCTGGACGGATAAAACTATCCAACTCAGAGACTTTGCGTTTGAAGGTAAACGCTGGTTAGCCTTGCTGTTGAAGGGTAAGGATTGCCAAATGATGGAGGCACTGCAAAACTTGGAAGAACACCTTCACAAAGGGTTCTTCCTCCTTATGAGTGGGGACTGGTTGGCGTCTGTGGGCTGGTAGTCGTTTCTGTTGTTGGTCAGGTCGATGGTTACCTCTGGATTGGTAGGCTGTGTTGGCCGGCGATGGGGTGGGATATAGCTGGATGGGTTGGATGGTGGTAGGCGATTGGTAGGTGGTAGAGGTCGATGGAAGTAGCGTATGTGATATTGGTTTGGTTGACGATTAGTGTTTCTATGTCTGGCTTCTTTCTAGTGGTTGTTGTAGTTGGGGAGCATAATGAAAATAACTTGAGGTTAGAAAGGGAATGTACAGCGGATGTAACAGGAGGAAACTGTATATGCTAGCGTGAAACTGTGGGGATCAAATTATGCAAATAAATCAAACTGGGTTTGGGGATATGTAAAGTAAGATGAAAGTTATGATGAAAAATGCAAAAATATATATTTAGGTGATAAATAATGCTAACAATGATGTGAAAAATTATAACAAGTAAACCAAATTTCACAGGTAACCGGGTCTGATTTGAGATAATAGTTTAACCGTCAATTTTATAAGAAGTAAAAAGAGAGCAATTTTGACAGAAAATTCGTTACTGTATGAGTCTTTAGTAAATAAACATCTTTATTGATTGAATAATTGAAATTAATAAATCAAGATAGGGTATCAATTATCAAAACACTAACGAGTTGCAAGAATTGTGGTCAAGATTATCAAGCCCCTTTTTTATGATATAAGTTCAACTAGTTACAGTCACAGTCGCCGTGTGCACCGTTATGTTAATTAGGTTAAACAAATAAACTGTATTGCGGAAATGTAACACAGTGTTTTTTAAGCATGTTTTAGTAGTTTAATAAGTTTTGTTATTATTTTTATTATTTCAATCGGGTAGGAGTTGCTTAAGATAAAACAGTTATAAAGATCGTATTATTTTTTATTAACTCTCCTCTAATTGGCTGTTTGTTTCTTCTTGCCTGTCAATCAGCTTCAAGCTTATTAATATTCATGAATACAGATTCATTGCGACAATAGTTTTATGGCAGTTGTGGAACCAGTACACCGATTGGCGGCGACTTCAATGAGATACACGTATTACACTGACCGGTATAAAAACCTTTGATCTGTTAGTGGATGTAGCAATGAGTGACAATGGCGCTAGTCCGTCTGAACTCTATCAGGCCCGCTTGTAACCTTACATTGAAGCAGACGCTTCAATGGTTTGTTTGGTATCTGTCGATTTGTGCCGACAGTTCGCAGACTATAAAGATTTCATCTGATTTTAATGTTTAATTTATTGTGATAGAGGTGACAGATTGTATCAGAATTTTATGAAATTGTGTGTTTAACTCAACAATAGCTTTGACAAGTTAGACTTTTGGTACGATTTGTCACAAGATAGGTGACTTGATATTTTTAAATTTCATCAGGGAAGTGGGTTTATTTTGCAAGGCAACCACTTTTTTGAATAGGCAACATCTTTTGTTGATAGACATGGTGTAGACTCTCATAATGGGCATGGGCTATCTTCCTTGCTCGATTGCTAGGGGTATTGGACAAGACAAAATAAGGGAGATATGCCAGCAATATGATGAATATCCAGTCCTATTGATCTAGCTGTATTTAGTGTCTCAATCCAATAGGCTTCCTTAGCTTGAAGGAATTTCGTATTTTCATCTTCTGGTAGATCAATTGCTATGCTCTTATGGGGGTTTGGGCAAAATCGTCTGATGAATGGTCATCCACGTTGAAATGATTAAAACAGTCTTTCTTTAATTTGATGTCTGATCTATGTGCATTAAAATAAGTGCTTAAAGTTTGGTTCCCTTAGTTTCATTTAGTAATATATATATATATTCTATTATTGGACGGCTAATACTTATTGTTATGTTCTAAATTAGCTTTCAAACTTTAACTGTTATAAATATTTGGTGTGACTGGATGTAAGAGTGAATGTAACCTAATTCAGTATAGTTAGAACTTGTTAATTGGGACTGTGACCTGATTGAGCATTATGGGATGGGAAAAGCGTGCATAGTGAAGTGAAAATGGCGTGGATGTTGCCGTCTCTGACTTGGCGGTCACCATATTTCTGTTTTTACCATATTTGTCATAAACATATTATTGTATCATTGTGAATCGTGTAATATTGTTACTGTGAACCTTCGTGATCATGTGAGCTTTGTACTTATATAGTGTCAATTGTTATTTTGTGAGCCTTTCCATGTTAAACTGGATTCGTGAATATATAGTGAACGGGAATAATTGAGTGTGAAATTGGATTCTCATAAACCATAAGTATTTTCACTGACATTTCTTTATTTCATCATATTTTAATGTACTATTCTTATCTGAACAATATACAATTCATTTTCATAGAACATTCTTAATTATTTGGGTAAAAATTGATAATTTGCAAGACTCCCATCAAAGTTGTCTCCAATGGCGCCAATGTATGACCTTTGAACTTGAACATTCTCATGATACAATAGTTGAATATGAGGTGCGTAACAAACGGTGTGCAGTCTCAAAAACCGCCAGTGCAGAGCAGTCAATGCTGCAACCAACATGCTGTGTAAAAACCGTGATTGATTTGACTGTATATTTTGTGAAAAAGTGGAATATTTTAACTGACAAACGCGTTCAATTTTTAGCTCGTAAACACTCTAGAAGAGACTATTCTTGATGGATTTTATCGAAACATGGTTTTATTATTCGCTGAAGATTGAACACGTTTTCAAGAACTAGGGCAATAACTCATACTCAATATTATTCAGTATCGCCCTAAAGAGTGGTTACTGTACTGCTAAATATTTATGTTCAAAATCAAAGCTACTAGTGGGCGTATATTACCTTGTTTGGCAAGCTATCTTTATTGTATTGCGGTAATGTAACACAGTGTTTTTTAAGCAAGTTCTAGTGTTTTAATAAGTTTTATTATCATTTTTATACGCCCACATGAAATAGGGGGCGTATATTGTCGTCACCCATATGTCCGTCCGTCCTTCCACAATTGCTCGTAAACACTCTACAAGACACAATTCTTGACGGATTTTGATGAAACTTGGTATGAGTGTTCGTAATCACCCAAAGATGAACCCTATTAAAAATCAGAAGAATCGAAAAATATTTAGTATAAGTTATTACCTTTGTTCTTGAAAACACGTTAAATTTTTAGATCGTAAACACTCTAGAAGGCACAATTCTTGATGAATTTTGACGAAACTTGGCATGAGTGTTTGTTATCAACCAAAGATAAACCCTTTTGAAAATCATAAAAATTGAAAAATATTTAGTATGATTTATTGTCCTTGTTCTTGAAAACGCTTTCAATTTTTAGAACGTAAACACTCTAGAAGGCACAATTCTTGACGGATTTTGACGAAACTTGGTGTGAGTGTTCGTAATCACCCAAGGATGAACCCTATTGAAAATAAGAAGAATCAAAAAATATTTAGTATGAGTTATTGCCCTTATTCTTGAAAACGCGTTCAATTTTTAGCTCGTAATCATTCTAGAAGGCATAATTATTGAGGGATTTTGATGAAAATTGGTGTGAGTGTTCGTAATCACCCAAGGATGATTGTTGAAAATCAGAATAATTGAAAAATATTTAGTATGAGTTTTTGCCCTTGTTTTTGAAAACACTTTCAAATTTAGCTATTAAACACTAAATGCATGATTCTTGCTGGATTTTGACAAAACTTGGTTTTATTATTCGCTGAAGATTGAATATGTGCCTTCTAGAGTTTTCATGAGCTAAAAATTGAACATGTTTTCAAGAACACGGGAAATAACTCATACTCAATATTATTCAGTATCGCTCTAAAGAGTTCAAAAGAAGTGTATGACTGAAGGTTAAATATTTCATACTGGTGATTGTTACTGTACTGCTAAATATTTTATTCAAAATCAAAGCTGCTAGTGGGCGTATATTACCTTGCCTGGCAAGCTATCTTTATTATTTCAATCTGGTATGAGTTGCTTAGAATAAAACAGTTATAAAGATCGTATTACTTTTTATTAACTGTCCTCTAATTGGCTGTTTGTTTGTTCTTGCCTGTCAATTAGCTTCAGGCTTATTAATATTCATTGAGACAATAGTTTTATACCAGTTGTGGAACCAGTACACTGATTCGCAGCGACTTCAATGAGATACTCATTACATTGACTCCTCAACTAGTATAATAACCTTTGATCTGTTAGAGACTGCGATATCAGCACCCGCTGGAAGCAAACGTTTACTTGTCATCTACCTACCTAGAGATTGTAGCCATGAGTGCCAATGGCGCCAGTCCGTCTGAACTCTGACAAGCAGACGCTTCAATGGGTTGTACCGACAATTCGCGGGGAACTAGCCAGAATCTTCCTGGGTACTCATTTACACTTACTCTAGTTTAGTTAACGGTGAGTTACAGCCACAAATGCGGTTTTTGACTGCTTTTATAATCTTTAGAAATTAACCAGGATCAACTGGGTAACAAATGGTTATTGCCAATGATTACCCGGTTCGTAAAATTCACTAACTGTTTCAACACTACTAAGCATGCTTTCAAACTATTAAACTTTCACGTCAATACATAAATATACACCATACTTAGTCTATATAATCAATAAAACAAACTTTAAGGATATAGTCTACCCTAAATAAAATGTTGCCCTAATCTTAATAAAATACATCTCTCAACACAACATTCCAATATTGGACATATTATCATTATCAGGGCAGCTGGTTTAGAAATGTGTTAAATTCTTATGATCGGAAAGTGAGCAAACTTTTAGAGCAGAATATATTTTTATTTCCAGAAAACAGAGAGGTCATTTGAAAGTCTGTTCCAAATCTATTCTATTTGTGCCAGGAGAGATTCATCTTCCAATAATAAAGTTTCCATTGAAGAATGTTGATTTAATAGATGAGTGGACAGGAGGACTCTTTTCCAAGTATGTATTATCTTTAAATCATCTTGTGCTTTTTATACGCCCACACATTAATATTGCCGTTACCCACGTCCGTAAGTCCATCCGTCTGTCCACAATTGCTTGTAAACACAACAAGGCACAATTCTTGACTGATTTTGACGGAACTTGGTATGGTTGTTTGTTTCTGTCTAAATTTTTAAACTCTTTCATCTAAATTTCTTGTGTTCAATTATGTTTCCGTCATAGGTCATTTTGTTCGTTATCAGAAAGATCAAAAAATAATTAGTATGAGTTATTGCCCTTGTTCTTGAAAAAGCGTTCAATTTTTAGCTCATAAACGTCTAGAAGGTTCAATTATTGACAGTTTTTGACGAAACTTGTTGTGAGTGTTTGTTGTTACCATAGAGTTATATATAGAAACTAGAGTCCACACTTATCACGTGACTCCCATTGGCTCAACGTTAAAGATTCGTGCCGTCATGAAGCGACGTTAGCCATCACGATTACGGGGAGTTTCGGAAGTGAATACCCGGATGTACCGTTTGTTTACAATGGACGATCTTCGATAGACAAACTTATTTCATGTCTATTTCCCTTAGATGAAAATTTAAAAAAAACAAGTTTCATTTCATTATTTCGGAGAATAAAGCTTTTTTCTATCTATTCGTCTATTTCATTATATTAATTTTTAGGTTATGAAGAGTTAATAGTCTTAAAGCGCCCGATGGGTAAAGCTCATTTTGCTAAAAAAGAGAAAATAGGCACTGACTTATTAGGCCAAGGCCTATACGAAAGAGGTTATAAAGCTAGGCTTTTATTAATTCAATAGATGAATGATTTAAAACGCACAATAAGTTAGATGGCTATTGCCTCTGTAGCATGAATGAACTTGACTCCCACTTGATTCCTGTCATGTAGCCTACTACTCCTAAGCCTAGGCCTACCTACTATCCCAAAAACAATACAGTTTTATTTAATTTGTGTCTCCTTGATGCCTTATTGTTCGTAATAAATCTTTCACTGTATATTCGTCCATGGTGATGTAATACTGTTTTAGCAAATAGAGATGTTATTTATTTATAGAGATGTTATAGAGATGATACCTTCATATACCTTTAGAGGTGTGGTTTGCTGGTATCTCATAGGCAATATGTCTTTAATTCATTTACACGTTCATTTTAAAGATTGGTATGCTAGGTCCATATTATCCTTAGGCCTATTTGTTTACAGTAAAGTTCTCTAGATTTGTTAACAACAAAAAAACATATAGGCCTATACCCACCTCTAACATAATCTTTATTGTGGAAATGTTCACTACAAACTACATGATGTTTACTTGGAACAAAATTTTCTCTCCGGATATTAGCAAACAATTTAGCAGATAATTCTTGGTCTTTAAGTGGAAATCTGGATTGAAACATATCTCATTATTCAGTATCGATCTTAATAGCCTACCAGTAGCCTACGTACATAGGCCTAGCCTTGGCCTATTAAGACTTATGTTTTTATACCTTACGCTTACGTTGTTGTGCCTTCAAAAAAGTCCCAGATACTATACGAATTGCAACCTGAGGTAGAAACATGTTTATTTATTTGATTGTTTGTTTAGGCTAGGTGGCGAAGAGGAATTGATTCGAGAGCTACAGGTTTGTGTAAAGGGTTAGGCCTAGGCCTAGTAAGCCGTAGGTACTAGTTGTCAGTGAGTTGAGGCCTATAATATAAAAGATACTTTCAGACTTTTAGATATAATCAATCATATATAAACCGATGGCTACATAGCCTAAATATTATAGTTATAGGCGGTAGCAGTGGGCCAATTCTATACAGTCTATAGACCTAGAGCCTAGACGTCTAGTTTCTAATTCTAGCCTGTAGAGCCTTCATTGGCTTCGTCATAGAATAGGCTAGGCCGAATTTGTTTGAATGAGGGATTAAATCATGATAATAGACTTGCCTATGAAATGCTAAGCCATTCATTTCTTTCTAGTGTTAGAACACCCGTAACAACAGCAACTTTCAGGCATATTGTGTACAAAAACAATAAGTAGGTCAAGCTTTAACGTCAAGTGAAGTCCCCGGACTTGCGATGGCTGACTCGCGATGGCTGACAAGGCTGTCGGCCAACGGTCACGTGATCAGTGTAGACTCTAGTTTCTATATATAACTCTATGGTTGTCACCTAAGCAAGAACCGTATTGAAAATCAGAAAAATTGAATAATAAATAGTATGAGTTACTGCCCTTAATCTTGAAACATAGCTTGCCAGGCAAGGTAATATACGCCCACTGGCAGCTTCAATTTTTATACGCCCACATGAAATGGGGGGCGTTATTGCAGTCACCCATATCCATCCGCCAATTCGTCGGTCCGTCCGTCCACAATTGCTCGAAAACACTCTACAAGGCACATTGACTGATTTCGATGAAACTTGGTATGGTTGTTTGTAATCACCCAAGGATGAACCCTATTGAAAATCAGACGAATCGAAAGATATTTACTATGAGTTATTGCCCTTGTTCTTGAAACGCTCGTAAACACTCTAGAAGGTGCAATTCATGACCGATTTTGATGAAACTTGGTATGAGTATTCGTAATCGCCCAAGGATAAACCCTATTGGAAAAGAGAAAAATTGAAAAATATTTAGTATGAGTTATTGCCCTTGTTCTGGTAAACGCGTTCAATTTTTAGCTCGTAAACACTCTAGAAGGCACAATTCTTGACAGATTTTGACGAAACTTGTCATGAGTGTTGGTTATCACCCATGGATAAACCGTATTGAAAAAGAGAAAAATTGAAAAATATTTAGTATGAGTTATTGCCCTTGTTCTTGAAAACGCGTTCAAATTTTAGCTTGTAAACACTCTAGAAGGGACAATTCTAGACGGATTTTAACGAAATGTGGCTTGAGTGTTGGTTATCACCCAAGGATGAACCCTATTGAAAATCAGAAGAATCTAAAAATATTGAGTATGAGTTATGGCCCTTGTTCTTGAAAACGCATTCAATTTTTAGCATATAAACACTCTAGAAGGCACAATTCTTGACAGATTTTAACGAAATATGGCTTAATTGTTTGTTATCACCCAAGGATAAAGCCTATTGAAAATCAGAAAAATCGAAAAATATTTAGTATGAGTTATTGCCCTTGATCTTGAAAACTCGTTCAATTTGTAGATCATAAAAACTCTAGAAGGCATGATTCTTGCCTTCATGAGTTTGACAAAACTTGGTTTATTCAGTCACGCGCTGAAGATTGAATATTTGTCTTCTAGGGTTTTCACGAGCTAAATATTGAACACGTTTTCAAGGACTAGGGCAATAACTCATACTCGATATTATTCAGTATCGCCCTAAAGTGTTCAAAAGAAGTGTATGACTGAAGGTTGAATATTTCATACTGGTGATTGTTCAAAATCAAAGCTGCCAGTGGGCATATATTACCTTGCCTGGCAAGCTATCTTAAATAAATATATTTGGCAGTACAGTGACAATTACCAGTATGAAATATTCAACCTTCAGACATACACTTCTTTTGAGGCGTGCTGAATAATATTAGAATATGGAATATTAGAATATTAGAATTGTGTCTTCTAGGCTGTTTACAAGCTAAAATTGAACGCGTTTTCAAGAACAAGGGCAATAACTCATACTAATTATTTTTTAGATCTTTCTGATTTTAAATAGGGTTCATCCTTGGGTGATTACAAACAACCATACTGAGTTTCGTCAAAATCAGTCAAGAATTGTGCTTTGTAGATTGTTTATGAGCAATTGTGGACGGACGGACCGACGGACATGGGTTACGACATGTGGGCGTTTTAAAAGCGTTCAATTTTTAGCTTGTAAACGCTCTAGTAGGTTCTATCATTGACAGATTTTGACAAAACTTGTTGTGAATGTTTGTTGTCACCTAAGGATGAACCGTATTGAAAATAAGAAAAATAGAACAATAATTAGTATGAGTTATTGCCTTTGTTCTTGAAAATGCATTCAATTTGTAGCATGTAAACACTCTAGAAGGCACAATTTAATTTTTTTCAATAAGTATTGTAAGAGTACATGACATTCAGCTGAGATTTGAAAATGAAAATGTGGACATATATTGCCATCCACATTTCTAGTATGCACAATAAAGACTACAGTTTTTATTTGATCTTCATGAAAGTTGGTATGCTTGAAGAGATCTCAGTCAAGTTTGAAATTGGTAATAATCTCATGAATGGTTTAAGAGTTATTGCCCTTGATTTAGTATAAACACGTCAGATTTGGTTTATAGTCACTATAGAGGCTACAATTTTTATCCGCTATTGATGCAACTTGGTATGCATATATATATTGATGAGATCTCGGTCAAGTTCAAAATTGGTAATAATTGGATGAATGGTTCAGATGAAACTTGATATGCATGTATATATTGATAAAATCTCAGTAAAACTTGAAATTAGTAACTGTTGTGACCATAGGTTCAATAAATCAAAGTAGAGATAATAATAGAACTTCGTTTATTCCAAATCCAAATAGATCGTCCATGTTCAAATTCACACTCCCAACTCTCTCTCAATCACGTGATCTTACATCATCATTATGAAACAGTCGGAACTGACTGATAATATTGTATGCATATACAATGACTCTTTTCTGGATAATATTTGGTTCTGACCTTAAAAAAAGCAATGCCTCCTGGCATTTGCCGAAGCGAAATAAGCCATTAATACAATTACAACTAGAATCGTTATAACGGTACCGAAGCAGTGCGCATCCAACCTGATACATTGATAAAACGTTGCATTTTAAAGTCACAATGGGATTTCTTACCGGAAAGAAAAGCATGTAAACGCTCAATAGTAAAAAAAATTCGTTTAAACCGTTTACCGTTCGGTAGTGAAAAGACGCATGAATTTAATACCATTTGGTACTAAAAGGTGTTAACATTCGGTAGCAAAAAGTCGAATTTTCAAATAGCTGTAAAGTTAAAAGTTCAATTCGCACAACAAAAATGAAAATATTTTTGGAAAGGTACAATAATTTGTGTTTCGGCCAAGAGGTCAACAAAGGTCAAATAAAAGAGAATATAAGCCTTAAAAGTGTTGAAAATTGCTGTTTTGGGACGTTTGTAAAAGCGAAAATATATGTCAGACATCAAAGATAAAAGTATGAATGGACATCGTAGATCAATAACCTTTGACCTTCTAAAGACCAAGATCATGCATGTAAATGGTCAAAATATCAAAATTTTATAAATTGTAAAACCTATTCTCTTTTTTAAGGTAAACGGCCCAAACAAAATGTAACTCTATCAGATATTGTCCCAAATAGTGCTTTAATTTTTTGTAAAATTTCGATGGTGAAAAATGCAAAGTAAGAATGGTCATCTTAGATCAATGACCTTTGACCTTGCAAAGGTCAAGATCATTTACGTTAAAGGTAAAGGTAAATGCACACCGGATGTGCCACGCCCACTTCAAAAATTTTAATTTGCCTGTGATGAGGTGTACATTGTTAAATAATGTTCAAAATTGCAAGAGTTTACAATCATTAGATCATGAGTTATTTGCAGTTTTACGTTGTTTAAGGCAAAGGTTACTGTCGGTAGATTATAGACACCGTGAATTTACGCACAGTTACTATAGAAGTCAGTACAAAATTTTCAATTTTTAAAACGCGCAATTTTGATCAAAATATCAAGTGTAATAAAATCACCAAAAAGGAGAGATCATGCACTCTAAGAATATATACGAAATTTTGTCGTATGTTAATTAGGTCACGTGACAGAGCTCTTCAAAGTTAAAAATCGCGATTTTCAAATTGCTGTAGAACCGGAAGTTAAC